TCAAGATGTGCTCTCGCCCTGTCTGTCACTCAAGGCAGTCGAGGGGCTTGGCATTTAGCTTGACATATCTAGACGGTTGGATATTTATATACACATAAGTGGTGGGCTGTAATTTCGAGAGACAGAAACCAGAGTCACCAGGAGGAACTTGGGGATACAATTACGAGACAGAGAGACAACAGGGGCCATTCTCCAGCGCTTCATGGATAGAGATGTTCCAGAAAAAAAAGCGAATCATTATCACTTCCCCGGAAAATAGCTTTATTGAGCAATTCCAACAATTCGCAAACCGAGAGGTCCCCCAGTGTACAAGAGGGACGAGCAATAAGGCATTATTTGATTCCGAAAGCCAAGGTGGGTGGGTGGGATTATCAGGAACTACCTGGATTAACCCATTGAGAACCAATAAAAAAAAAGCAATATGTGCATTAAACCAGTAAATGATTGACAGGGCTGGATAATCCCACCAAGCCAGGGTTGCAAAGCCTCATTTCCTAAGTCACATTTTTCATAAAATAAAAATAAAAAATGGACTGAAATGGAATCGATTCACTGACCTGAAAGGGTACAGGGAAAACTAATCAAACTCGCACATCTCCGGGGATACACACTGGGAAACTGGGAGAGCTGAGGCAAATGGTGAATTAGGCACCTACCCTTAAACCATAAAATGAAAACCAAAGAAAAATTAAATGTAATTAATTTGTGGTTGTTGATCTACGGAGTGCAACCTGCTTTTGATGGATTCCGTTAATCACATTTATTTTTTAGAACACAGTGCATATTACTGAAGAGAATCACCTAATGAAGGGTGAAGGTAAACGTGGACAAAACACTGTAAGTAAGATAATCAATTACTGCTCATCAGCCGCTGCTGATTTTAAAGCCCAGGAAATATATTATTTGGCTGCCACAGATGGTCCAATTTATCCAAACAGCAGAAGATGAACAGTGGGCTACAGGGTGAATAAGAGGACAAGGAATTCAACTAATGACCCAAAAGATCCTATGGTGCAAAAAAAAAAAACAGATTCAAGAGAAAGAGGTTTACAAAAGGTTTACTATCGAACTAGTAGCTGAATGTTGCAATCACTACATATTTGAAAAGTTTATTTTGAATTCTTCCATATATTTACCTCTCCTCCATTGTCATCTTTCTTTTTTATTCTATCATTCTTTTTCGTTCTTTCCTTTTCGTTCTTTTTCCATTCTCTTTCTTTCTTTCTTTCTTTCTCACACTTTCTATTTCTTTCTCGTTCTATCTCTCTTCCTTCCCTCCCTCCCTCTCTCTCGCCTTTTTACACCCATGTAAAGCACCTTGGGGTAACTTGTGAAAGGTGTTGTGCAAAAATACATTGAACTGAATTTACAGATGGCAAAGAGTTCAGTGCCTCATAGAGTGGGAGGGATGAACGAGCAAAGTCTGTCAAGAGTAAGATTTTCTGCACCTACAAGGTCTGAAGGAAGAAACCATTTTGAAAAGCCTCATTCAACTCCATCCACTTTCCCATTTCAGGTACAACAGACCAGCACTATGTGCCCAACCACACAATAAGAGGCCCTCGTAAGTGATCTCATTTCCCAGAACCTAAGCAATCTGCCGAATGTAGTTTTACCAACTGCTCCGACCGCCTCGGGGTCAGTATTTCGCCATGGAGAGGATAGAGTGGAGGCAGTCTGGGATATTGACATTACACATAGAGAGAAGTATGACCCCAGGGTCTGATGGAACATCAAACTTACTGAACTCAATCTTAAATGTTATTTTCATAAAACCAATTATAGACACGCACCATCCCATAAACGCAATATTTATCTATTGCACTTACCTGCTGTGAGTCAAGCAAAGTTCATTATCATTTACCTATTTTCATTTTGTTCAGAATTACCTGCAGCCGCCTGACGTATTCAACCACACTGACGGCAAATCGGGATGCTCGTTTGAAACGCCAGAAATGAGTCTGAAAATAACGCTGCGAGCATTAAAGCATGAATTATCTTTCTTAAGCGGCGTGCTTCCATACTCTAACACAGTAAGTTAAGTTGTAAGCTTCCATGCTGTGGAGAAACTGTTGACCTGATCATATGTGCACAATTGCACTGAGCATATTTTATGACTTTTCCAAGTACGAACACCATAAAACAGCGCTGAAGCACAAAGCACTTCTATTAAAAGCCATTAAAATTATAAATGACTCAATAGCACAATGTTCTTACAAGGGTGTCATTATCAGACACTATAAGGAGTGGAGGGTGGCACTCAGATAAAGGGGTGATTACTCCATCCATCACCCCAACACCCAGAGTAACGCAGCGACTTAGGGAGGGGGCATTTGGTGGTCCAGGTTCTTATAAGATGAAGACCAATGCTTGTTAGCATTGTTAGCATGAGTGCTATTAGAGATCTACAGAAGGGAACTAGGAAGGTCTGATTTTAATTAAAATGAACAAGAACACACTATTTAATCTAGTATATATTTATTGGGGGGGGGGGGCAGTGGCAAAAAAACATTTTAGGGGGCTAAAACAGCCCTATGATGCCCCGCCCCTGCTTGTCAGCATGTGGCCACGAACATGACAGGGACTATAAATACCACAAGGAGCAATGCAAGAATGCCGCCCCAGGAAGCTTCACAGCAGTCACCAGGAAGCCAAAGCGCACTCCCCCAGCTGGGGGGGGGGGTCCCAGGGACTCCAGCTCTGCCTAGAAAAGCACGAGGTTCCTGCCCCCACTCAATGAAATATGAAACACTTCTGAAAACACTTCATTTAAAAACCTTCACCCTCTAAATCCGACCGATGACAGGAAGTACAAAATATGGGGGGAAAAAAAAAAAATCAAAACGATTCCTGAACATCGTTAAATATGCATCACTATAACACACGAGCTCCGGGACTTAATTCTGCCAGCTGAAGTAAGGAATTGTAGCACTATGAAATATGGGGACAGTGAGAAAATACACTCTAAGTGAAATCTGTAATCGGTGGCTAATAAAGTTAGTGAGAGAGACGTGTAGGGAGGCGATAGAGCATCACAGTCTGAACTCACTGCAGTATTTATCCGTGACAGAAATCTGAACCCCCTTTGAGGACTTAAATAAATAAATAGCGAATGAATATCTACAAATGAAATAGAGCCTTCTGTTTAAATGTTTGAAAGTCAAAGTTTTTGGAAAAGTATCAAGAAAAATAACAATATCGGGCCAAGCAAGAGACGAGGAGGATCAGTATGGGGACACTGTGACTGACATATTACAGCTGTAACGGCCATCCTGACAAAGTCATTGGATTCACCATTAATTAGAGTAAAACAAGGACAATTGCAACTGATGGCATCTCAGTTACATTCAGACATTACCCCTAGAGCAGCGATTCTCAACCTATGGGTCGCGACCCAAATTTGGTTCGCGGCAATTTGTGAAAGGGTCACAAGGTCTTGGGTCTGCAAACGCTTAGCGCAAAACTAGCGAACACTCAATCAATCAATTCACGAAGCCAAACCACATATGCTTACTTTAAAATTCACTGGCAGATCCAATCAGATTTGTGCGATAAGCATCGATCGCGTAAATCGCAGAGTGCACTGCGTGCTTGATCGTAGCGTTAATTTAGACCTATACTTGATATAGGGTCGCGACCGAGCTGGCATGATAAAGACTGGGTCACGGTGCAAAATGGTTGAGAACCACTGCCCAGAGCAACATGCTGCACTTCAGTTGCATCCTGAAATAAAAGCGTAACTGAACAGGTCCCACTAATCAATTCACTGCGCAAGTCCATTTTTCAAATTCAGGCTTTACTACCCGCTTCTCATAAAATAGAGACAAAATGTAGTCACCTAGATACAGTAGAATCAATCAACAACAAACTGCAAAGCTTTAGGTGGGTGAGATTTAAAGCAATTACTAGCTGCACAAGAAAAACATGGACGCATTCAACACAAGCTGTTTCACATTGTTCATATTTAAGAAATTAAAAACGATGGCATAAGAAAGGAGGTTGGGGTATCAGCTGATTTGTTAAAATCGTAACTGGGCAGTTAAACCACGCATGTCAGAATTATCGGCGTACGCGTATTGAGGAGTACAATTTGACAAAACGTTGCGCGTTTTTAATGACGGTAAAGATTACTATGGTGTAACTGCCTTCAGAAGCTAGGGAAGAATTTTAGTTAAAACAATCAAGCCGCATATGAACGGAACGCCATCTCGTGCTAAAATATGCTTCATTCCACTTCTTTGTCGGGGCTACTTGACAACCAGGTTACTCAAAGCTGCTTTACAATGCAAATGAATGGAAATAACACAATTACACATAAACCAGCCTGAAAAGAAGTAGCCGCAATAATTACGTTACTTTAAATTTGGTTCATAATCAGTGCCAAGGGTTAGCAGCAGCTGAGTTATTCACAGAGGAATGAGAGGTTTTGTTCATACACCCATCCTGCTTCTATAATTAATTATTCAGTCGTGGTGAGTCTGGAGTCCATAGGAGGCAGTAGAGGGCACGAGGCAGAGGGGCCCCCACCACTATATGGAGGCTCAGGCCAGGGCAAACCACTCACACACCTATTCAATAAGCACCTGAGGTCAGAATTTGATTTAAAAAAATACTAATGATCCACTCCTTATTCAAGAACAGACAACAACAAAAAAACATAAAAGGAAACACTTCAAAAGAATCATATTAAATGGAAACAAAAGCCTGGATTAGCATGAAAATAAACACCTTGTTTCTGAGTCGCGGCCGGGACGACCATCAGCATGCCGTCATCTCCACATCTTCAGGATACGGTTGCTAAGAGACAGCGAGGAGAGTCCTATTTATAGAGAATCACGGCCTGGAATTCCTGATGCAGAATGTCACACGGCTGAAAAACAGTAAGTGCACCTAACTGTCACTACTGCTCCAGAGAAGAGGCAGAAGCGATCCGACCGTCTTCCAAGGCCGCGAGAAAACAAAGAGGCAACCAAACCTATTCATGCACAGACAGACAGACAGACAGACACAAGGAGTGGTTTTTATTTTCCATACAGAAATATATTTTACACAATATGTTGCCTTAAACACAATTAGTCTTTTTTTATCTCCTTATATTTAATAACACAACATTTTTTTAATTAAAAATAATAATAATAAACATGAATCTGGTAAAGAAATGTGTGGACCAGAAATGCCTAATTACACATTAGCTCCCAGCCACGGATACAATTAAACAAACGTTAGTACAAAAAGGAAGCCATCTACAATAGAAAAATACAGCGTTTCACTACCTTTCTACAGAGTTTCAATGGAGCCCAGGGTGATCGATTATGGCAATTATGAGGAGGGCGGTGGAGGGGGAGGCGGGGGGGGTGGAAGGTGCTGGAAGGGCAGGCCATGCAGGGGCGGAGGTGGCCCCATCTCTTGGCCAGGCCACGGCATGGGCATGTGGGGAGGGGGTGGAGGTGGGAAGGGCAGGAAGTATGGAGGCGGGGGCTGGAAAGGGGGCGGGAACAGGCAGGGGAAGCCCATGGGAGGCAGCTTGTGGGGGTCCGGGGGAGGGGTCATCATCCTGCTGTCGGCAGGGTAAAAGCAAGGGCGGGCCGGCGCGTTTCGCTGGGGCAAGCGCCAGCTGGGGACCCCCCCCTCTGGATGCGGGTTCACACCCCTGCCGCGGTACCCTCCCCCAGCAGGTCTGGGCTGTCTGTGCTGCGAGGCCCGGCCCGGGCTCTCATCTGGGGGAGGGGGAACAAAAGGAAACATAGCTAGCTACAAATAAAACGTTAACATGACATATATTTCAGACAAATATCCTAAATGTGGTAATTAATTAGTTTAAAACGTTTAATTTTCACTAAGACACATGACGCTATTATTAATAAAATCACATGAATTGATAGGCAGTTGTTTTAATAAGTTATTTATAAAATAGGAACGCTTCTGCAACAAAATTCCAACTGGCATTTATGCTTCCCGTTTATGCATCCTTTCCTCCCGGGTGTTTTTCCTTCTTTGTCAAAAAGTCTCTTGAAACACCGCCCTTCCCCCACACACATTTGGTTCTCACTTGCGTGTTTCTCAGCCAGGATTTCACACCACACTAAATCAAGCTCCTTCCGACTCACCCGGCCCATTAAAAACACAATGATACTGACCATGATAGTAAAAGCCAGGGTTTCCACAAATCCGATATTTTATGGCTCCTCAAAGCGCATTCTGAACAAACGCATCATTCGTCAAGAAAGCCGTTTCCAGACCCTAAACCTGTTTCGAGAGTTAAAGGTGTTTTAAAGGGTTTAGGGTGGTGTAACGCACGGAATAGCTAATTCCTGCTAGCCCAGGGTCACTCTTTCACTCCTCTCGTGAAACTCGCCACTTCCGAGCGAGGTGTCTCGCACGTGGGCTGGACATGAGGAACAAACGTGCTCCTCGACTGGCCGGGCGCGCCCTTAAGCCCCGGCGCAAGTGCGGCCGCACAGAGTTAACAAACCAAGACTGCTTTTTGGTTGTCTTGTTCATCATGCGACCGCTGGCTAAGGGTCAAGAGGCCACTCTGCTTGTGCGGAAAGCACAGGCTTACTTTTAAGCACTGGTGCACGGCAACATAAATCGGTCTCAGAGCATCGATTTTTAAAGGTTAGAACAAAATGTCGAGCTCCCCAGAGGTCACAGCTGAGCCATGTTGCCACATTTTCTGCGTAATTCGACGTAAAAGGACGAGCGGAAATTTGGGGTGACATTTCATGCTTTGCCCTTTCGTGCCACTATGCTGATCACATTCATCACTATTTTGTATTAATCTAATTCACATTTAAATACAAATACTCTACCAGACGGTACATTAATTGACCATAACAATGCAACCTTCAGTAAAACAAAACTTGTTTCCAAAATATAGTAATGACCATTTTTTGTGTTTGTGTGTGTTGGTCAATGGGTTAAGACTCGGAAGGTCGCATGTTCAAATCCCAGGGCCGGCAAAGTGATGCCATGACTGGGTGCTTGTGCAAGGCCTGTAACCCCAAAGGCTCTGGGAACTGACAGTCCCTGCTTTCTCAGAAGCATTCACTAAATAAAAGTAATGCACGTCTTTAAAATATGTACCAAACACATTGTGCATTTAATTAGATCCACTCCATTCACTCTGATGTATTGCTGTAATATGTTAGCGTAGCAAAACATACTGGCACTCAGAAAGCCAACTGATGGGTTTATACAAACACAAAATGAAACCCAGTGGCATTCAGACCCAAGGCGAAACAGGTCAATTCGCAAACCTCAAAGCCATCCGACGAAGAAAGTGTGACCACAACACATCTGGAAAATGAGCCATTTGCTGCTAAACGAGTCTATTAGGCAGCATCCAATCTGGGAAGCGTGGCTCTAACAACAGGCCGAGCAGTATGGCACGCGGAACTGCGCGCCTCGCCGAAGTGTGGGCGGAGCCCCGACGGGGCCGCAAAACGACGCGGGGTGTACGCCCACTCACCGGCCTCGCTCGGGTCCGACGTGGGGGGCATTTGCTGAATGTTCTTCTTCTTCTTCTTCTTCTGTTTAGCCAGCTTCTCCAGCTCATCGTCGCTGAAATCCAAAGCCTGATGCCAGCATTTTTTAAACATAGACAATTAATTATTACGAAAGAAACAAAACACCAAACGAAACAAACAAAACAAAACAACAACTATTACTACTAATTATAATTATTGTTATTATTGCTATGTGCCAACAAGTCAATGTCGACTTCTGGTGGCTAATAGACAGCCTTCCTCCAAAACATCGACAAACAGAAGCCCTCAAAAAGACAAAGACTATGTAAAACTTGATTTCTAAGACTACTATATTTCTTATACCATATTCATGACACTTATAGAAATACATTTAAAATGATATTATGAATTTGCACTCATTTATCTTCTTGGATTTGCGACAGACAGATAGATGTGCAGTACGCACACCACTTCTCGCACTGGGAAAATATTTCACCCCTCTCTGGGCAGGGACCCTTGGTATCTACCTCAGGTGGAGGTTCTTGGTCATTCTTCCAGGACGCGTCAGAACCTTTAAAGCTACAGAGGAGGGAGAATCTGCGTCAGTAATGAAAGTATGAACATCTGAAAGGGGCAGCAGTGATATCCCAGTAAACATTTCTTTGCTCCTTCACTTTGATAAATTTAAGGCGGAAGGTTTATACAGTCAAATTATCCTTTAGGTTTAATTTGGGAAGATTTTCCTCATAAGAGTACTGAAGTGAATAGCTGAACAAAAATTAACCATTTATTTATGTCATTTTTCCCCAGAAAATGGAGAATGTGCAGATCTAGGCTGCACAAACAATGAACACTCTTTCAAGCTAACATTTTATGTTTAACTGACCAGTGCACTTCTATCCAGACATTACTTATCTATGCCCAAAACCTCCAATGTGGAAGTCAGCTCTGGCTATACAGGAAAAACACAGAATGACAGCCATTGCAGAGCAAGGAAAGCATTTTTATCATCAGCCTGGGGAATAAATCCGAAAGCGATTAGCGGAATTCACTGCAACGTTGCTTACATAAACGCATTTTAATGCAGAATGACAAGCAGCTGACTGATGGGCGCCGATCTCTATTACAGAACAACCCTTTCAGACACTGGGTCACTGGGCGGTCGAGGTAATGCATGACGCAGGCTCACCAAGTTCAGCTCTTGTTTTCCAGAGCATGAACTGTGAGATTTTATCCAGTGCATGAAAAGGCAGACCAGTTACAGCAGCTGGAGATTTAAATTTTACAGAGATGTATCAAGGCCGATTCAATTCAGGAATACCGCCGTCAGCTGTCGGATACGGCGAGCGCATGCTAATCTATCCAAAAACAAACAAAATAATCCTGTTTCGATGGCGTGCGGATCCGGCAGGGCGTGAAAATTCCACGGCAACCACCGTACTGAGGCATCTCTTTATTCGCAAGAAGCGATTGGCATACAAACACAACGTCATGGTTTTGTTCTTCCCATTCCATGCTTGTCGGGCAGAGCAGGAGAAGACACAGCCCAGTACCCATATCTCCCCGACTTTTACCCACGTTAATACCATCTCCCCCATTCCCACCATTTAGCAACCTTCTAACAAGCCCGTCGCTGGTTCGATTTATGTGCCTGTCAAACGCATCAAGGCAGGTCAATAAATGGGGCGCGGAAAAGGTTACATGTCCAAACTGCAGAGGGTCACCCAACTGACGGAAGCCCATAAATATGAACGACAACATCCTGGGTTGCGTCAAAGCCACAAAGCAGAAGCTGGCGTACGATAAATCCTCAACGTGAGCATACTTACACCTTGAGCTGTTCCGCGAATATGTAATCGGTGAAATCCTTCAGGGAGGGAGCAAAGTACATCGTGTCGTTCAACTTCAGACCTTTTTCCGAGATGTGGTCGGCGGAGTTGAACCGGAGAAGGTAATAGGGCCGGCAGACAGGCCCGAAAATTTCAAACACCTGAAAACAGAAACCGCAGCCATATTAATAGTTTGGGACCAAATACCTGACGCAGTAGCTCTTAAATGACTAATTAAATTAAAATGATTATTCTCACCTCAAGGGGAATGTTGACAAGATTCACATCATTCTTTATAAAGCTGAGGCAGTTTAATATCAGACTGGATGTGACTCATTCTTGACATTATTTTGTCAGGTATGGTCTCCAGAAAACACAAAATAGGACTGATCTTACCTATATTAATGTCAACAGAGCAGAAAAAAAAATACAAAACACTAATGCAAAAAGGTTCCCCCCCCCATCTAGATCCAGGTATCAGGATCCACGTTCTGCACCTTTGCATTACCACAGCAACATAACCCTTGGGTAACGCTTACCGCAAATACCCAAGCTGACAACAAAGCCATACACACAGGTTACAAGTTTATAGCAGAAAAGATGGCCCAGCACAATAACGAAGAGACAAGCATCTCATCTCCGGGCGCCCAAGGCCAAACACAGAGGATTTTTAGAATGACGAGCGTGAAATAATGCTGTCGTGACTTCAGACTACATTGTCTGTCATTGTCAAGCTAAATTATCTGCCTCGTACTCCAGCCCAGATGCGGTTTGTCAAGGAGAGCCGAAGACAAGACAGGGGTTAAGAACGGGGGTCTCAAACTTAAGCTAACCTGGGGGGGGGGGCTCTGTCTAGGAGGTCTTTAGTCCAACTGGGTCACTAGAGCTTTATTTTAAGGGAGAAAAGGGAGGGGGCTTTCATCTTCTGTGGAAAACAAAAGATCGATTTGCGGGCTGTATAAAACCTGCTCACATGCCAGATCAATCTGAGACGCCTGGCTAAGGACGTCTGACAGTTAGCAGTGACATTCTGGAGATGTGAGTTACACAGACATGAAAAAACAAAAACAAAAATCAGTAAAAGGTCACATCACGGTCCACATCTATCCAAGCATTACCAGCCTATGCCCAGCAGCTTAAATCTAGTCTAGGGGAGTTTGGCGTATAAAAGAGAAATATATCAAGGGGCAGGAACAGACAGTGTTATTTTGGTTCAATTTTAAGTAAATTCATCAGGAAAGGTTTAATGTGACATTTTCCCGTGGCAGATCGAAAAAGGCGTTTAAAATCATGCGCTTCCCCTGAATCGACCTGCGTGTCGGAGAGCCGGGGGTGTCCAGGACGTACCTTTCCGACAGAGCGCCTCGCTTCATCAAAAACGACGCTGTCATCATTAAGAGGTGGGGTGTCCTTCAGGGATTCAATTATCACTGCGTGAACAAGAGCACCGCAAGCGGCAATTAGACGGTGAATGGCGAGAACGGAGTTGGCGCCGCAGATAGCAGAGTTAAAGGTTATCGGTTCGGGTTCGAGCAGGGGGGCCTCATTTCAGCAGCGCTTGACAGGAAGTTTGCCGGTGAGATTCACAGCGTCATAAACAAGGACAACAGCGATGGGTCAGAAATGCCAGCAAAACAACTTAAACGTGAAGGGAAAACAAAATCAGATTACCGGCAAACGTAAAAACCGTTAGAAATGGCGTCTGTTCCTGCTGGATGGCGCTACTGTTTATCTTTCAGCTTTTCATCTGGGTATGAAAGGTAAGGATAGTAAATCCTTAAAAATTGCACAGACCACATCCCATTAGGCAGGGTGAGGCACTAGTGGAAAAACTAGAATATAAATTTATATACAACAGAAGGTCAGCAGTGCAGACGACTTGGCTCACAGCGAAGGGGTTTGACTCCTGAAATCATCGCTGCTATTTTCAGAGAAGGGCGAGAAATGCGGGCGTGTCTGATAGGGTCCCCCCCCCCAGGCGGTGAAACCCACAGCACAGCCGCATTCCGCACGTGACGTCCAGCCCAAAGGCGTCGGCCAAATCAGGGTTCCCCACTCGTACTGGAAAACCTGGAAAATAGTCAACCGATTTTCCAGTCGTGGAAGTTGAGAGAAAAAGCAAAATGTCCTGGATAATCATATACTGCCCTGAAAAAATATTTCAGCAAATGAATAATATTGCAAGCAGGTTCGTTGTATCAGAGCCCGTTGAAATATTTTTCTAGGACATTATAAAAATTTTCCAGGACATTTTACGTTTTCTCTCAATTTCCATGTATTACCCATGACTGGAAAATTGGGGGACTATTTTCCAGGTTCTCCAGTACGAGTGGGAACCTTGCAAATGCCACCAAGCTGGGAAGTTGAGCTGATCATCACTGCGGAATATTCTGACGATATTCACTATGTGCTCTCAAAGACCATCTTTATTGCATAACAGGACGGCAGATTTAAGAAGCTCGCAAGTCCACGTTACAGTGACTACATGAGTGTAACCTGACTGCAAA